GAGCCACCATCACTTTGAATTATTGAATTATCTAAAATAAATGCCACCAGTTCTCACCTTTGCTTTGCTAAGCCTTAGCACCCAGTAGAGTATGTTCTAAAAATGAAGCCGAGGAATGGCCATGAGAGACTATCGTCACATGCTGAAAACTTAATTCAGTGAGAGGGAGGAGAGGGGAGTTTAACTTGGCTGTGTTCAGAAGGCTGAGTCCATGGCTTGGAAAGGATTGTACTGTGCTCAGGGTCTGCAGGAGGCATAGGACTCAGGATTAGAGACAAACATTTGAGAACTATCAGGAAGTGCATAGTTAGGACCATTGAGGTGGCTCATCACCTAAAGGCATCTGCTGCAAAGCTTTACCACCTGAGTTTGATCCACAAGGCCCACGTGGTGGAAGGAGAGAGCCGACACCCCCACAGGTTATCCTTGGATCTCTACAGGCACTCTGGCATATGCTCCTCTAATAACTAATTGCAATGGGAGGTGTAAGTGTTTTGCCTGCATGTATGCAAATGCGTTGCACACTTGCAGGGCCTGAGAAGGTTAATAGAGTGTGTCAGATCTCTTGGAACCAGAGGTACAGATGGTTATGAGCTACCATGTAGATGCTGCCACCCAGATCAAAGTTCTCTGTAAGAGCAGCAAACACTCTTAGACACCGAGTCAGGTCTCCAGTCTGTAATAAATATATTAATTTGTTTTCTTACTTAATTAATTTTGGTTTTTTTGAGACAGGGTTTCTCTGTTTAGCTTTGGAGCCTATCCTGGCACTTGCTCTGGAGACCAGGCTGGCCTGGAACTCACAGCGATCCCCCTGCCTCTGCCTCCCGAGTGCTGGGATTAAAGGCGTGCGCCACCAACGCCCGGCTTTATTTTTTATTTTATGTGCATGGTGTTTTGCAATGGGTGTCAGGTCCCCTGGAACTGGAATTACAGACAGTTGTGAGCTGCCATGTGGGAGCTGGGAATTGAACCCGTATTCTCTGGAAGAGCAGTCAGTGCTCTTAACCACTGAGCCATCTCTCCAGCCATCTATTTTAATATATATGTAGCAGATCTCTCTACATAACCCTGGCTTTCATGGAACTCATTATGTGTACCAGGCTGGCCTCAAATTCCCAGAGCTCCATTTGCCTGGGCCTTCTGAGTGCTGAGATTAAAGGTGTGTAACACTACACCTAGCTAATAAATATAAATTTTAATAAATTAAAAAGAAAGTAATTGCCAAAGCTAGAGAATAAACAAAATGACCTACAGGTGATAGAACATAGCCCTGAAGATGCTAGACATGTTGAAATTGGCTGAAGAGTTAGAGAAGGCTGGGTTGTGGAAGAGATGAATGGCAATGAAGACTGAGGTAGGAAGGTCTAAAGTTCAAGTTCTACCTAAGTTACAGAAGGAGTTAAAGGCCAGCCTGAGCAACTTAATGAGACTCTGGCTCCAGAAGAAAAAAAAATGTAAAAAAAAAATGGGTAAGAAAGTCAGGAGACCTGGTTGAGTGGGAGAGTTAACCCCACCACCACCACTACCAAAAAAGAAAGGAAAAAGTCGTCGACAAGTGTTTCAGTTGGAAAAAAAGCCTCTGCTTCAGGTAGCACATGCACACTGGTGGCGCACACCTTTAATGCCAGCACTCGGGAGGCAGAGGCAGGAGGAGCTCTGTGAGTTCCTACAGATTGAGTTCCAGGTCAGCCAGGGCCACAGAGTGAAATCCTGTCTCAAAACCAAAATGAAATAAGTAAAAAGATATTTTAGACTTATTTGTTGTATGAGTGTTTTGCTTGCATGTATTTATGTGCACCATGCCCAAGAGGCCAGCCACAAAAGGGCATTAGATCCCTTGGGATTGGAGTTGTAGATGCTTGTAAGCCACCGTATGTGCTGGGAACTGAACCCAGGTCCTCTGCATGAGCAGCTGGTGCTCTTAACCCAAACCAACTCTCCAGACCCAAACGCAGGGCGTTGTAAATGGTAGTCAAGCTTTCTGCCAACTGAGCTACATCCCTGACTTTTGACATTTCCCAATTTTTTGTTTTCAAAGCAGGGTTCCTTTGTGTAGCCTTGGCTGTCCTGGAACTCACTGCATAGACCAGGCTGGCCTCGAACTTCCAGAGATCTGCCTGCCTCTGCCTCTGCCTCCTGGGTGCTGAGACTAAAGGCATGCGCCACTGCTGGCTTACTACAAACAAGGGCTCTCTTCTTCTTTTGGGAGAGCTTCCTCTGACTTCACCCTGGGACTCATTATTCAGTCCACACATGAATTCGTCCACATCTTTATGATTCTTCTGTTGCAGCAGTGAGATATTCTGATTACTTTCCATAGCAGTGATGTCTCTTCGAGGTCAGGGCTCGACACAGATACATCATACTTAACAGTGTAAGGAAGGGGTAGTCATTTTTGTGTACCTTACTGACTCACTGGCGATTTCTTTTCTTGCCTCTCTCTTCTCTTTTTCTATTCACTATTCCTGGTGGCTTAGAAATCACAGCCCTCAACTCTGAGAGGACCATAGGGTTTGGGTGAGCAAGTTTGCTGATGGAATTCTCGTTTGGAATGTGGCTAGGGGGGCTAGGGGAGAGGCCAGGAGAGGGCGGG